GGTAAACATAGCATCATGGAACCTCATCAAAATAAATTTCTTCAAGTCTTTTCATTCATTCATTCACAAACAAAATTTGTGCATTCAGTATTCACTGAAGGCCTCTCCTGTACCTAACACAATAAGATGAAAAACACACACAAATGAACCAGCCTAAATTTCCCCAAGCCCACTTGTAGACATCCTTCACATAGAGAGCTTATTAGGTATGGATATTAACTCTGTGGATGAAGTCTTAAATTGAGTTACCAGATTACTAACCTGGGTGAATCTTACTGAAGATTGTGATATGAATGACTGTGGCATCCAAATCTGTACATTTTTTAAAAATACCCATTATTTCAATGGAGTAAATCCTCTTTGAAATCCACAATAACACAGTCACAAAATTTAAAAGCTTTTGAAGCCAAAGTGAACGGCATGACAAAGATTCTGTATTCATAATATATTAATACGTACTACAGGCCTACTGGTAATGTTAGTTAACCCCATCTTTTTCCAAGTTACTCTGTTTTTATATCACAATCTTCATGAACAATTCTGGGAGGGCATTATTTCCTTTTAGGTTAGATATCACACAGCGCATCTCCTGATTCCTCAGCTGGGGACCACCTCTACCACACATACAAGCCTTCATGGCTGGTTAACATCTGCTTCAATTAGGCAATGGTTGATCGATTTAGTGCCTAAATAAGTTTACTGAACCAGTTGGTTAGCTGAGCTTGAATTCCTGGTGAGCTGCATTTTCTTATCTGTTCGGTAATTTAGAATCCCTTGAATGAAGGGCGCGAGGGAAGGGGTGTAGTGGTTAGGAGATTGTGTTTGTGAAGGTGGCAAATCTGAGTTCAAATCCCAGCTCTACTGATGACTCTGTGACTTTGTATACATTAGCCCACTGCTCCAAGTTTCTGTATCTTTATCAACAGAATCAGGGTATTGCCTAATAATAACTAATATTTAATGACCGCTTATTGTATGGGCTTTCCTTATATTATCTCATCTAACCCTCATATCAGTTTGATTTACAGGGGCGGTTAGCTAACCTGCTTAAGTAGGGGTGCCAGAATGTGAACCTAAGTTGTCTGGCTCCAGAACCTTGTTCCTTGGAGAGGTGGCTGTTAACACAAAAGCATTTCCCTGGAGATTCTGATTCAGTAGAGCTGTGGTACGACTAGGACTAGATTTTTAAGAGGTACACCAGGCATATCCTATGATCAGATAAATCTGGGAAACAATATATTGGAAAGAATGTAAAAATTATAAATAAGTAATAACCAAATGTTGGACCACTTAAAGGAAGATGTTTATCCTCTTGCAGGGCAATATAATTATTTAGATGACTCCCTGGCCTTTCACACTATTGCTGGGCCTTTCTGACTGGTTCCTGTGAGGGAGGCTCCTTGCCCTGTGGTCCAGTCCCACGAGCACCTACACTGACAAGATAAGGAATAAGAATGGGACTGGGACAAATGCAGTCTGGATTGAAGTCCTGATTCTGTCACTTCCTTTCCAGGCATGTCACTGGGTGAGTCACTTTACATCTCTGAGCCTCAATTTTCTCATCCGTATAAGATGGGTAAGAGTTGCCTCACAGAATTGGTGGGATTAGCAAACTGAAGTGTACAAGAGGGCTTTTAACCTTTATTAATTGTAAAATGCCAAACAAAGGTAGGGATCATTAATAACAAGCCAGTTATCCATGAACAAAGCTCCTGTGCAGTTGCTGTTGGGGGTGGGGGCTGGGGGACTGGAATGGAGCTTGGCTGCCTGAAAAAGATGTCAGAGATGACTAAGAAAAGTACCTTTTCTCCAAGATAAACTTTATTTCAAACTCTTAACTACATGCCAAGAAAATGCTTAACTACTGGAGAAAAAAGGATTTTCCAAAATTTCACAGGAAACAAGTTAGCAGGGAATGTGCTTTATCAGGGACTTAGTAACAAAGATCTTTAACCCTGGCTAAAGATTAATGATGATAATTAAGTTATTAAACTGGAAGCGTGCTGTTAATTAAAACGACTGCAGTGTGAAAGAGTTAAGAGTCTAGTTGCCCTGATTTTAGTTAGGGCCAGGCAGATGTGAAAGATCTTGTCAAAGTCAGTCTCAGTGGGGGCATGACTGAGTGCCCATTATGTGTCAGACACTGGGGTTTCCATGCATTATTATACTGCTAAATCCTCATTTCAGCCCTCCAAAAAAATTTCCCCTATTTCGTAGAGTTGCTTAGAGAAATGAGTGCTGTGCCTAAGATGACACAGCCTGGAAGTGGTTCTGTCTGACTTAATACCACGTTCCTTGAGAGGCCAGAGGTGGTATGTCCACCACAGGCCATCACACTGAGTCAAGGAGCCTAAACAGCACATATACTAATTTGTTTGGCTTTGGGCTCACCCTCCACACACAACATTCCTTTCTTATGGGCATGGCCACCAGGAGATCAAATTATAGATCAGGAAGTTGAAACCTGTGCAATGAACTAGGTTCCACAATCCAAAGGGCATTTCCACTCAGCAATGGCCTTCTATTGTGTACTCTCCTCTATTCCAGGGGGCCTGTCTAGAATCAGAAGACATGGAGTATTGTCTTCTGCCGGTCTCTCTGCCACCATCATCCCATCCCCCTGACCCTCCAACAGATCCATTCTTCTAGCAGCTTTAAAACACCCAGGTTACAACATAATCATTGTTCATACTTCACTTTTCAAGATAACTTTGGGTTTGGATTTATTACAGTTTTTTGGATGGGTGAAGTTCATAGCCATTAAAAAAAAAATTCTATTGGTTTCTACTTGTGAAGGTGGCATCAACCTATAAAAACGGTAAAATACTACCAACCAGTAGTATTTTGCACATATTCAGTTGAATATTTTACCACCCACTTTAAAGAAACAAATCACAGATTACATATATCTATTAAAGTATTTTACAAAGTAATAGTAGTTGACTAAAAACTTACTAACTTTGATGTCTATAATTAAGTGTAGGTTTGATGTGTATTCTAACTTAACAATTCTGTATTTTCTAGAAAACGATTGGCCTTTTTAAAAAAATGACTCACTGCTACTGATTTCTTACCTTTAACCTTAAGCAAAAGGTTGGTTCCACCCATGATTATGGTCCAACTAAATGCATCTAACCACTGACTGAATAGTACGATACAGACCCTGTATTTTACTCAAGCATCAGAGAGCAAAGACATTGATGGTGGACCTGCTCTAATGGTTGCTCGCTGCTGCCCTAGCTGTCCTCTCAGCTTTCCCTGCAGGAAGTGAGGAGGGTGAAGGGATGTTGGCACCTTTCTCTATACACCCATCCACATGGGATTTCACAAAAGTTCTACAGAGTATTCAGAACATTCTAAAAACTTCAGACTCTGAATTACAGCCAGCCCTTGCTATACAAGTTCATCTCTGACAACTGCAAACCCAAATCTCATCCCTTTCCTGAAGTCCCAATGGGGCTTAAAAAGCCTGCACTCAATCTACCCTTTGAATGGACACTATGAGCAATTACGTATCAGAGCTGCATAGGAACTGATACATCTTCCTCTCCAGACACCGTCGTTTTTGAAAAGCAGACGCATGTAATTCAGAGGGGAGGAAAGACCTACTTGAGGTCCCAGAACTTACTGAAGCCTCTACTCATCCTCCTCAAGAGTCCCCCTTATTTTATGTCACATCTGACTCTAGGACCATCAGCATTGCAAAGCCTCCTTGTTAACCTGCTTTCCCACCTTGCACCTATTACAATGCTTGGAACACAGAAGCAGCTCAGAAAACTGGAGGTGGACAAAGGAAGAGAAAATCTAGAGGAACCTAAGTAAAAATCCACAAGGCAAGGCAGAAAAGACATTATGACTTTGAGAAAAAGTACAAACAAAATGCAGTGGGATTCAAGAAGGCAGGTAGATTGAGTGTCCACGGAATGGTGATGTGCCCGAGCTCGGAAGTCACTCAGAGCTAGGCTTTTTAATTCAGGCACTCAACAGCTATTCACTGGGGGCCTACTTTATGCAGGCAATTGCTGGGTGCAGGGGATAGATAGATGAGCAAAACAATCTAGGCCCTGATCACAAGGAGAGAATAAAACAAGCAGGTTAATTTCAACTGATGACAAATGCTATTAAAGAAAAAACATCTAACAAAGGACACGTGCAGGAGAGGGCAATTTTAGACAATGGGGCCCGGGGAAAGCATCTTTGAAGAACTAGCATTTAAACTGAGACTCAGATGGTTAGCTGTGACCTTGTGCAGGTTACTCAACCTCTCTGAGCCCATTTTCTCATCTGTTAGGAAAGTACCTATCCGGGCTTGTGAAGGTAAATGGACCTAAATCACTTGCACAATAGTAGATATTGTGGTTACTGGTTAGCTATTCTGGGACGGCTGAGACCCGTGACTCTGGGGAAAGATCGGAAATGCAAGGTCCACCCAGGACCACTATTATTACTCACCGCTTTCTTTCAAACTAGACTGTGAGTTCTAGGCCAGGGGCCAGTTGGTCGCCTCTGATCCCAGACTCCCGCTCTGCGCCAGGAGAAGCCAAGAGCCAGGAGTGTGAGGGGTGTGGGGGTCCGTGTCACCTGGTCACCTGGCAGTCACTCGCGCGGGTCCGCGCGGTGGCCTGTCCCCCGGCAGCCATCTTGGGTGCCCTCACCGCGGCGAGTTTCGTCCCGCGGCCGCCGGGGACCGCGTGGCAGGGCGCGCGGCGGCGTGCAGGGAGGAACCCCCCTCGCATCGGACGCAAGCCCCACTCGAGCACCGTGGCACAGGGGAGCGTACGGGGAGGTCAGCTTTCTGGAGGCGGGGCGCTGTCAGGCCGCGGGTTTGCAGGGGTTCTCAAGGTGCAGGGACCCCTGGACCGGGCGTCCCCGGCACGGCGAGGGGGCTTCTGGCCGCGCACCCCGGGATCTCCCTTGGCCGGCCCGCGGGCGTGCGCCCTTCCGCCAGGCTCCCTGCGGGTGTCCCACCTCCCTCGCCGGGCCCGCCATCCGCTACTCACCGCTTCCCTGGCTGCAGCCGAGCCGCTCGCTGGACCCGCTCAGCGCCGCCTCCGCGGCCACCGGAAGCGCTTCTCCCGCCACGGGGGCCCCGCGCGCAGCCGCCGCCCGGAGCGCGTCCCCGGAGCGCGTCCCCGTGCGCAGCCACGAGGCCCGGGCGGTGGGGGGGGGGCGCGGACGCGCCCTGCGGGTCGCTGAGCTCTCAGCTGCGCCTCCGCCTGGTGCAGGCGCGAACCCCTGTGCCCGCGCGCTTGCTTCCCGCTCTTCGCCCCGCACTGTCTCCGTCATGAATTCCCAAGTGCATCCTCACGGTGGTGTGGGGCTCTTGTTCAAGCCAGTACCATTGTTTTCCATTTTGGTTTCCCGAGCGGACTCGCCCGTACTTTATTCATTTATTTTTTTTATTCCCAGGGTCTTGCATAGATTAAGCATCCGTCTCCCGCCCCACCCCCACCCTACTCATTTATTGGTTTAAACTGATGTTTCCCACAGTGTGGAATTTGGCACCACTGGCACTACAAGGCGATTTAAGGTGGTCCAAGTGCCACGACCTGATTTATGTCTTAAAAAGAATCAGTCTGGAATAGGCTGTAGGGGAGGTGAAGTGGAGGCAGAAAGAGCACGGTGGGGAGGCTAACGTGGCTAACTCGCGGAGAGATTATAGTGGCTTGGGCCAGCTCGGTAACGGGGGAGATGGTGAGAATTACGGGGTTCTGGCTTTATTTCGGAGGCAGATGGAATCTAATAAATGGCAAGTTACATCATATTCATGGATGGAAAAATGCCATTTTTTAAAGTCATAAATTCTCCCCAACTTAACCTATCAATATATTGCAATTTGAAACAGAATTCTGACAATTCTGCTGTGTGTAAGACAGTGTGTGTGTAACTTGAGAAGATGACTGTAAAATGTATATGGAAAAATAAAGAGCCATAAATGGCCAAAACAATTTTGAAGAAAAAGACAAGGTGGAGTGATTTCATTCTGTGAATACAGAGAGGTAGTTATGTTTGTGCAGAGATCAACATATAACTTAGTGCTGCCAGAAAGAGTTACCAGACATGGACCTTGCATATATTGAAACCTGCTCTTAAGTGGCATCCCAGGCTATGGGGATGGGGGGAGGGGCAGGGGAGGGGGTGGCAGGAAGGTTATTCACTAAGTGATGACTGGGCAATTGATTCCCTACCATATGCTGTACACAAAACTTGACTCCAGATGGATTAAAGACCCAAATTAGAAGCAAAACTTCCAAATTTTTAGCAGACCCTGGTATAAGGAGGCATTCTTAAATAAACACAAAAAGCACAAAACATAAAAGAAAGATTGAGAAGTTAAACCACATTAAAATTAAAAAATCCATGCATATCAATCCTACCATAGAGAAGTGAAAGAGTTCATGACTGGGAGGAAATATTTCCAACACACAGCTCTGGCAAAGAATATATATTCAGAAAATATAAAAAACATTTACAAATTAATAAGAAGAGAGAGAAACAAGCCAACAGAAGAACATATAAAAAAATGAATACATGCAAATCACAGAGAAGGAAAAACAAATGGCCTTGACCCATAAGAAAAGATATTCAACCTGGCTAGTAAAATTCGTATGAACGTTTAACCATTTTCTGTTCTTTACTGTATACCATGTGTCAAGTGTTAGGCTCAAAGAGATTTTTAAAAATTTCCTTCCCCAAAAAGCTTACTAGCAAGGAGACAGACATGTAAACAGGTAATTTCAGTAAGTGATTACAATTCATACAAAAATTGCAACAATATAATGTGGAGTATGTGACTAGGTGTTATGAGATCACAGAAGAGGATTGATTAGCTTTGCCTGCAGAATGGGGATACAAGAAAGGTATAGTAGATATAGGGTATAAGTTTTCTGTTGCCACAATAATGTATAGCACAACCACAAAACCTCAGCAGTATACAATAGTAAACATTTATTTTTGTTCCCCAGTTTGTGGGTTGTCTGTTTCTGGGTCTCAGCAGGGCTCTGTCCTGTTCATTCACAGCTGGGACAAGTGGCCCCACTTAGCGCTTCCCCCTCTCACTCCACCAACAGGCTAACCTGAGCATGCTCACATGGCAAGGGGGTGGAGGGGTTAGAGAGAGAGAGTGACTCAAGGCGTCCTGAGGCTAAGGCTTGGAACTAGCATGCCGTCATATTCATTTCATCCTATTGGTCAAACCAAGTCACAACACCAGCCCAGATTGGGCAGGCGGCGGAGGTGGGGGGCGGGGACTAGAGTTTTTCTTGATGGGAAGATCTACAAAGTGATAAATATGTGTATATATACAGATAGGTAGAGAATTGGGGACATCATTTTTCAAAAAATTTAGTCATGTGTGCGCTTTTTGCCTTCCCAGCATCCCAATTTCTTTTAGGGCAGCTTCCCCCCACTACCAAACCCTCACTTCATTTGATCCTGGGTCAAATTGTCAATCATTGGACTTGATCTTCTCATGCCTGCCACAGTCCTGGGTAAGTGACAGAAACCTGCCCTGAATTTATAAGTAGACACTGGGAGAGAGAAGTTGCCTCCCTCCCCTGCCCTTATTGGAGTTGCTAAGCTGGGAAAAGGTGGATCAGGGCTGCCAGGGCTGCCCTGTTTGCCAGTCTCAGAAGTGAAACTAAGCTGAAGATGTGAGAGAGAGTTCAGATGACATCATTTGAATTTAGCCAGTCCTGAAGGTAGAACTGCCTCCTGGGCTTCCAGTTATGGGGACCAAGAAACCCTTCCACATCACTTTTTTTTAACCACAAGGTCTTCTGAGTTAGATTCTTATCCTTGACAGACAGGTTCACAGTGGTGGTTGTATTTAAGCTGAGTGCAACTGAATTTGAAAAAGTAGGAAAAAGAGGCAGATGAAGGACAAAGAAATGAGCTGAGGATTTAAGAATAAGAAGCAGGTATCCACATGTGTTCCCACTATTGTTTTTAAATAAACAGCTTTCAGTAACAACTTTCATGGAAGCTAAAACAGCATTTTTCTGCTTTGTTGGTAAGGAAGCCAAGTGCTTGGGAATTCTTGCTGGGCACATTGACAAAGGTTATAAAACCCATGCATTTTAATATGGACTTTGAACTGTTCGGGGCATGGAAAAACCAAACAATGCTTAAGTCAGCAAAGATGGGGATGCATTTCTGAGCATAGTAAAAGTTCAGTGAGCTGAAGAAAGATCTTGCTGAATATATCACAAAGTGAAGGTTTCCTCCTGGTAGAGGAGAGAATTTGGTGGGAATCTGTTTTTTTCTTTCAAATTAACATTTAAATGAAAGCCTTAAGTTCCAGATTATATTAGTAAAGTTGTTTACGATGACAAAAGAAATACAGAGTCGTATGAATTCGAAAAGCATGAAAAAATTCATGTCCATATTCCATGCTATTCCCCACCACTCCCCCTGAGAGATTTTTAGTATGTTCCTTTCAGTATTTTCTTTTCTTTTTTGACCCATCAATCTTCTGTTCATCCTGTGCTTGAGTTTAGCTCTCTGTGCATGTGACTGGAAGCATGTGGGCCAGCACTTAGGAACGCAGGCTCTGCAGGCAGACCAACTGACTTCTGATGCCGTCTCTGCCGTGGCTGGCTCTGAGACCCTAGACAAATGACTTCTTACCTGGGAGATGTAAACCAAGCCACATCTCCTACTTCTCCCTCACCATCCCATTTGTCTGTTGGGTCACTTGCCGGGCTCCCTAATGCTGTGTTGGGTAAAGGTCCAGGTGGGCATTGCAGGCATAGAAGCCAGTTAGACACAGCCCTGCCAGTGAGACCCTCTGGGTCCAGTGAGGCAGTTAGCACAATACAGGGAGGAGTCAGGTGGTCCAAGCAGCAGACATGGACCCAGAGCAAGGACCAACTGAAATGTTCTAGGTTATGTGTCAAGGAAGGGCTCCTGGCAGAGGTGACTGATGAACCAAGGCTTAAGGGACAAGTATGAGAATGAGAGGTGAAGTGGCTGGAAAGGACATTCTTTGCAGAGCGAACAGTATGTGTGGTAGCATAGAGGCTCAACCAGCTGGGTGTGGGTGGGGAAACTGTGGTTTATGTGCGGAAGGATGGTCATGGGGTGGGCCTGGGTGGAGGAGTGGCGCGGTAGCCCTCTCCCTCCTGGTTGTGGGGACAGACAGCTAGAGAGCAGTCAGGAATTCTGCCTGGGAGAGGGGTCGAGGTCAAAGCTGGAGGGAATATCCTCTTAGATTCTTTCATAGGTTATGGAAGGAAGGCATGGGGCCAGGGCCAGGGGCCAGGGCAGGAGAATCAAGGAGGCCAGCAAAGCAGAGAGGGCAGTATGGCAAGTAGACAAATGGGAAACCAAGGGCATTTCTCCAGGCAGAGTGCAGGTGGCAGTGGGATTTCACACTGGTGAGTCTAGTTCTATAGGGACCTTTTAAAACAGTGACTCTTAACCCTGGGTTTAGCTTAGAATCATCCAGGGAACTTTTGAAAGTTTCCCCAGGCCCAGACAAATTACATCAGAATCTTAAAAGGTGGGACCTGGAATCTGGATTTTTTAAAGCTTCAGTGTGCAGCCAGCAGTGGAAGCCCTGCCAAAATGGGATGGACAAAACACCAAAGAACAGACAGAATCATCTTCAATAGGTTCAGAGCGGCCCCTCCCATCCTTGAGGTGCAGAGATTTGCTGCAGGGTCTCCACAGAGCTGAATCCTCCCCATTAGTGTGGCTGGACTGTGGTCGGTAGGTCGGCAGGCTTTTGTTCCTCAAGTATGCAGACAATGACCCTAAGCACATTCTTGTTTGAGAGAGAAAGCCCAGTGGGTCTCACATACAAAGCGTCTGAAAAAACACATCATGAAATTGGCTCTTTGTTTAAAAATAAAGCAACGCTAAATATCATTTGGAAGCCAATTTTATCTTTAAATAGGTTCTGGAGGTTAAACAATGTTGATCATTCTGGGAAAGCTGAGTCACTCCATTATGGGTCATAAGGAACTGGTCCATTAGTTAAAATAATCTTAATAGGGCAGAAAGAAGGAAGAAATAATACCTTATATTTCTTTTTGCTCTGGTTAAGTACTCACTGTTCCATTTCTTTAACTCTTCTGAGAATGATATCATATCCTGCTTGCTCTTTAGAGCCAATCCATTTATTCTTCTAATTTATATTTACGGAGCACCT